AAAAAAAAAAAAAAAAAAAAAAAAAATGGGGCTTGCTATGAATCACACAGCCACTTATACAAAAACATAAATCTCTTTACAATTCAATTGTTTACCCCCAAATGATCCAGAAGCAGCACTGAAATGTCTCTCATAAAAGTAGTAGCAGCCTTCATGTGGAGAGAGCACTGCAGTAAGAATTACTTTGTTTCTATATACTGTTTACCTTGTTAACCTATGAAAGAGTTTTGATCAGATTTAACAGAAATAAATACTCCTGGATGTACATAAAACAGCAAAAGTCATTCCTCAATATCAGTATATTCTAACAGGTTTTTAAGATACCCCAAACACTGTATTATATAAGTATACATGTAAAACTGTTTCATAAATCCCCCCAAAAATTGTGTTCATGCATATAAGGCAGCAGAAAAGCAGTAAAAGATTTCATATAATCAAAGCTAAACTTGTAGCTTTTCTTGAAAAAAAATTAAAAAGTTGTGAAGGACCAAGTCTTGATTGTTAACATCAAATATTAAAAAGAAAGCATAAGAACATGCCAAGAGACTTGCACTACATCAACAGAACTTTAAAAAGAGAGAGACAGGGATCCTGATGTTTACAGGCTTTAAAAATGCATTTCTCTGAGAAACCTGAGTGAAACAATTTAGGAACACACTGGTAGAGAAACCCAGCACCAGTTGGCCTATTCCTTTTTCAGTTCAGTTGTCTGTTCAGCATTTATCATGCCTCTGTCATTGTTTCCCCGTATCATGAGACTATCCTAAAAGAAATGGCTCTGGGTATGCAGGCAGTGTAGCAGGGGGAAAGTTTTTATCAGTAGAGAGGCAAGACCTTGTTTTCTCAAAGGAGCATTTTATGGCAAAAATGTGAATTTTATTAACTAACTCAATTTTCTGTTCTTTTTTTTGAGAGAGAGGGGGAGAGAGAGAGAGAGTTTAGTTTTTCACATAGCATTTTTACTCAGATTTTCCATTTTTACGTGTTTTGGCTTCTTCTTGTCCAATGAGACAAATAACTTTGTAGCATCCCTTTGTAATTTTGAACATCCACATCAAGTTCATAACATCCAAGACAACACTAGAGATAATCCAGGCACTCTGGGCTGCAAGACCCAGTCTCTGGAAAGCCTCTGTTCCAAATGCAGAAATGACGCGGCCATAATAGAAAGGGATGACTGCAATCCTCACCATAAAGAACACAACGGTCATTAGCACCCCATTGATGATATTGGCTTTTGAAGATTTGGGATATCCCAGTACTTCAAAGAACCACCTGCAAGAAAGAAACATTCAGAAAACCAAACAGGGTTCCGATTTTCCAGATCTCCCCTTAACTGCCTGAGCATCCTCCCATTCTTGAATTGCTGCTCCGATTCTTGGCTTAGTTTGCAAGCTCTTCACCCCAGCTAACTGCCTCCGTGTAAAGCATGGTGTAACATACAGTACTTACATGAAAGGTTTATAGTATAATATTCTTAAGGAACAGCATATAGAAAATCTTAAATTTCAATTACCAGTACAAACTAATGTATAACCAGCTGCACATTTCAGTCTGCAAGAGCCTACGTTGTTTCATAAGTTAAAATTAGAATTAATAAACTTTTTTCTTCTATTCTCTGAACATTTTAAATTGGACTGACTGATAGGCAACCAATACTCAGTTTTTTCCAAAGGGTAATCCTGAGCCAAAAAATTTAGATTAAAACACCTTCCAATTATGTTTATATGTGGCTTTTGATTTTTGTGACTGGGGCCTTGTTTCTGTCCTAGTAAGATTCTCATTGTTCAGTTCGGGCCAAACCAAAATCTCAGGTGCAGATATTACAAGATCTACTGCTGCTTAGAGAGGCCTCTGAGAATGCAAAAAAAATATGCAAAAGGTAATTTTGAATACATTTTCTCTCCCTTCATGCCCTGATAAACAATTATCTGGCACAGGGAACCTGTAAGTTCAGTTCATAAAGTAGTAATTGGCATTGTTTTAAGATCTTTTCTTTCCTTCTCACTAAAACTTACAGTAAAATCCCACCATGCAGGGCATGTGTAGCTGTGGAAGGTTAAGGAAAGAAACAGAGGATAGAAATAAAGAACACACATTAATTGTGCACCAGTGGGGGGGGGGGAATCAGCTAGAACTACTTATCACGAAGCAGCAGATATAATAATTATTAAAACTGATACTGTAAAATCAAGTGTCAACATCTGTTGTAAATTTACTACTGAGAGTTGTGGTCATATTGAGAGATGCTCTGGATTTCATTTGGCTTTATCTTGATGCCCATAAATGCCCGATTATACTTACTGTGCATCTGTAATGATTATTCATGTGCTGCACTAGTTTTATGCATTAGACTTATAAAGGCTAATAAAATAATAACTGGAAAAAGGGGTAATAGTCCATGTACCTACTGAACAACAACAAAAGAAAATTAGACTATTTGCATTTCACCTATCACCAGCTGTACACAACTGCATAAATTATACTAACCAAGAAAAAAAGTGGGTTTGCCTGGTACATGGACAAACCCAAATCAACACCCCAAAGAAGTGCAGAAAAGAATTATAAAGGAAATTATTTAGTAAAGAAAAATCTATGTAGATCTTGCAACAATGTACAAATCCTTTATAAAAGTTTGTTAACTGTGATTTTAATGCTCATGGAGAATGCTGGGCTGATAGCTACCCTGGAGACTCATCTATGAGAAGTGTATAATGCAAATAGTGTCAGTGCAAGTTCATATTGCATTAAAACAACTAAGAGAAAAATTATATTATGTGTCCTTTGGGTTTCTCAATACAGAAGGGACATAGATTTGGGCAGAAATCTTCACCAGACAGCTTCTGGACAAAAAATGAAGCTTGTATGATTCTTTATCACTCCAACCCTCTTCCCTAACTTAAAAGCTAGACTTGCCAAACATCAGTTTGAGATGGATCCTGATACAGCCCCTTCTTAGAGAAGGGAGGCACACTATGCAGCCCACTGCACCTTGCTCCTTTCCAGCGCATCCAGTAACAGTTAACAAAAAATATAAGGCAGCAATGATCATCATCATTACAGCTGAAAGCTATCCAGAGAGAGTACGGTCTTCAAATCAAGCTGCATCCCTTCTCCCACCCCCAACATCCAATACACTCTCTTCTCCCCAGTGCAGTCTTCCTTTCCCCCGTCCCTTGGTATGGCCCTTCACGTTACCGCCAAAGACATTCAACCTCTGTATTGGTCATCCCCAATAAACAGCTTGAATGTAAACAATAAACACAATGAGCTGTTGCATACAGCTGTATCAGAGCTGTATACATGAGGCTGGTGAAGCAAGCAATGTCAGAACTGCTGTATCAACAAGGGCCAAAAAAGTAAAAAGAAAGAAAGGTCTGGATTAGTTAGCGAAAGACCAGAGTTAGCACTGAAATTAAAAGAAACAAAAATAAAATTTCATTTTACCATTATAGGTGGTTGCTAGTGTCTATATGGTGATGAAATAATTTAGTCAGAGAAATGAATATACAGCTTAGAGAGGGGAACCACATATAGTTCTTAAAGGCACAGTACAGAGAATTCTTTTTGCAGTATGTAACAAAAATGGTTCCAATTATTTGCAGATGTTCTTAAAAGGAAATATGGCTATACTATAGACGTTGTTATACAGCCCGTTTTTTAGCTTTATTGTATTTAAAGGTGCTTCCAATTTTGTACACTCCGTTTTCATTTGCACATTCGAATTGACTTTTTTTATTTCTTTTAAAATACTTCTTGCAGCATCCACAACTGCTTTGATGGGAGGAACAGGAAGGAAAGAAACAGAAAACTACATAACTAGGGTGTCCTTTCACAACAAGGATCAATGGAGCCATAAATGCAAATGTTTAGATTTGTAAAACTTTTAAAGATATGCAAGCATACAGTAATATAAAATATAAACCTCAAGTAATCTAAGGCAACGTAATTCTATCCTGGGAACCTGATGGCAATGCCACCTGGTCTCTATTCTTGGGTTTACGATAATGCTTCAAAAACCCATACTGGAAATAAAAACTTGTATTGCATAATAATTTCATACCCTATTTTTATCCATCTAGTAATAAGACACGAATGTATAACCTTTCATTCCATAGTTTTATGCCAAATTTTCATTGTGTGCAAAATGCCATCTAGAAGAAGGACTTCCTAGGGAGTATACTGGAACATTTTGTGTGTGGATAGTAGCTCAAGTTACTATAGTGAGTATACTGTTCCAGTTCCTAAATCTGGCTGTGCCTAAAACTGACTACAGATTAATTAAATATCTATCATAGAAACTGACTGTAATTACTCATCTATCTAAAAAATATTTCAATATGTGGGTTAAAAAAAGAGTCATTAACATCCACCTACCGTTGATTCACAAAAGGAGTAGAGAACTCTGCAAGCAGACGGAAATTACCAAAATAAGCCAATAATCCTTCACCCTAAACAGAAAGGCAAATGTTACAGAAAAAGGAATATAAACCTTACATCATAAATGTATTGATCATCTCTACTTTTAAAGTTTCTTAAATGCCAAGTTTATAGCATCTCAAGCATTTTATCATAATTGCATGTGTGCATCAAATCTCAATGCCCCTTCACACAATATTGGGCCCATTATTAAAACTGAAAGCATTTATCCTTCCATGTTTGTAGCAATAACTTTAAAGAGCTATAACTTTGGATAAGTATGCAAATGTTTCTTATCACTATTAAACACTAAACAGAGCTAATAAGAAGCTGGCTAATAAAGGATTACACATGCCAAGCAAAAATGGTGGTTACATTATAAATTAGAACAGGTTTGTTTTTTACAGGACAAAACCTATGATGAGTAAAAACATTTTGTATTTTTCATGTTTTAAGTAAACTTAGCAGAATCACAAACTCACAGGAAAACTGTACTCATTTAGGAATTTTACTTTTTAAAATAAAGATTGGGGACCAACTACTTGGTCCCCATCCACCACTACAAAGCAGCTGAAAAGCTAACCTAAGAAACTAGTTGGGATTCCTTAGTGCAGAAAATGTCTGTGCTGCATACAACAGACTATGAAAACCCCACATTAATCCTGCCATAGGCCCCAGCATATGTTATCAACTGAAGAAAAAAGTATGGAGCCAAATTTCTGCCAATCTCTAACAATCTCCAGATGGCAGAGTGGCACAGAGGCACAATTAAAAGAGTGCCCAGTTAAGTGCCCAAATATTCAAAATAGCTTGGAACTGAGGCCTCCTATTTGAATAAAAGTTCCACTTCTGATCATCCTACATTCATTCTTTCTATAATCTCCATAGAGAAGAGGTAAGGATATATTATCTGTTTTTGGTTTGTTAGTTTTTGGCACTGCCTTATGCTACTAAGAGCATGGATTAAAATATCTGCAGGAGAAGCAGTTTATGGGCACGAATAAAAGCAAATGAGAGGGAGTCATTAAAATGACACTATTCACCAACAACTGCCATACTGCAGTATGTGCTACTACCCCCGAACCCCCTCCCAGACCTGAAAATGGGGAATAATTTCTGGCAAGAATTCACATTTTAATGTTGATCACTGTCCTGCTACATATACCATTCCATTTTCAAGTTCAGAACTGTGCAAATGAGAAGAACTGCTGCTCTTCATCAATATCTTACAGTTTAAGGGGGAGAGGCAAGGATTTTTTAGGGGGATATCTTTTATGGGATGAACTACGTAGTTGGGATGAAGTTAGATAAGCTTTTGAATGCAAGATATGCATCATCAGGTCTCATCCCAACTACGGTTCTTCCAGAAGACATCACCCTAAGAAATACTTCCCTCTTGCATATTTTCTGCACCATTATGGCTACATCATCACTTTTACAGTACTAGTGTACAGGGCCAAATTCTGAACTAAGATAAATAGGTATAATTTCCATTGACAGTTATATCTGAAGACAAAAATCTGATCCTGGATGCAGGGATAACAACTTTTCTTAAACCTATATCTAGTTGATTGCTAGAGATCTTACTACTCGCACCTAAACCCAGGACTGGTTTTGTTGTCATTACAAAGAAGAAAAAAAAACAGCAGAAGATTTGGAATTTCATGTTTTTGGGAGGCGGGGGGTTTAATCCAGTCTCATTTCCATGGTAGTAATGCTAAATCTCTTATCCTAAAAGTAGAAAAAAAATGATTTACCCAATAGTGTAACTGGGGGAGAGGCCACCAGGAAAGTACTCCCAGATGCTGCCTTTGGGGAGACAAGGAAAAGAGTGTGTGTGTGGGGGGTGGGGGGGCAGGGGTTAAAAATAGCTGCTATCATGCTAAATGGGAAGAGAAGAAGGAAAAGGAGTGTATGCATGGAGGGGGGTAAAGAAAGGGGTTAAAAATAGTTGCTATCATGCTAAACAGGCCACCAGAGACAGCAACTGCCCTGTTACACCTCTGTATTTATCCTCTGAGTACACTCCATCTCCTTTGAGCCAGAAGAAAGGATTACATCTAAACCATGTTTAGATATACACATTTTGCTCATAAAAGCATCATTTGTTTTTTGAACACCAAAAGTGGGCTTTTATTTCTCTAGTCAGCCCAAATAGTTACAAGGAGGAGCTGGAAGATGAGTTTGATGTATATGTTGATAAGTACAATGCATCTGTCATTCTGGACTTCTCCTTCATGACAATAATTCTGCTTTCCTGTTCAAGACAAGCACCTATGGTAAATTCAATATCCTTGGCAATTTGTTGTAAAGTCCAAGGATACCAGGGTTTATGGTTGTAGCCATGTTGGTCTAAGGACATTGGCAAGCAAGATTCTTTGAGTAGATGCGATATGTTTTATTAGACCATTTTATTAGAAATGTATTTACATTCTCACTGACATCCTGCCACACTTTTAGCTTCTGTCATTTCTTAGAGTCTCAGAACAGCAGAGACTTCCTATGCCTGAAGAAGGGTAACTGCGCCTGAAAGCTTACAAAGAACTTTTTTCCAACTACTCAGTTGGTCTAATAAAAGATATCACATCTACTCAAAGAACCTTGCCTGCAAAAAGGATACCAGGAATTTCTGCCAAGAGTCTATGCAAGTATTCTAAATAAACCAAAGTTTCTTTTTATAAAAAAGTATAAATTTAAAGCTGATGAGGTTTCCTTAAAGCAAAAAAAATGGTCACAGGTATACATTATCACAAAAATAAGAAAGCTTGTAGAACATCATTTATTATAAATAAAGATTACTAAACTCGCTGTACCACAAATTAGCAGCAATATATGACTTCTTTTCCTCTCTCTCATTAGTTTTCTTCTTTATTACTTATGAGCTGGCTTACTTCAGATTAACAAACGAATGCATACATTATTTTGCAGTACACCATCTCTGAATAAAACCTGGCAATGATTTTGCATATGAACCTATACTTATAGCTTTAATTTGCAAAATCATTAAATTCGTATTCCTCTAATGTACATTGATTAGATGAAAAGGGCAGCTTCCTTTATCGAGAAAAGTCTCATGAATATACACCCTCTCACACTATTTCTCCCAATAGAAAGCGCGCCAATTATCATAGTAATCTTAAAGTTATGTTGTAACCGTGATAGTCCAGGAAATGTGCCAGAAGCAAAGCAGCAAAGCTGTTCAAAGAACAACATAGAATACATTATAACACAGTCAAAAAAGATAAATAGGGACTAGTTCTACATTTTAAATTTTCTTTTTTTTTTTTTTTCCAATCTATGGAGTAGAAAATGTACATCAGACTTAAAAACAAAAATTGCATGGTCAGATCTTATTTTGCTTTGTTTTCAGGGAATGGGATTATAGTCCATCATTACAACCTTTAAAGCTAGTAAAATTTATAATATGGTTACACTTCTGTGATTTCAGAAGTCTGAAAAGACTCATTAGACTAAGTGCAAGAGAATCAGCTGAACTGGAAAGTGATAAACTAAGGTGAACAGAAAACAGCCTCTTCCCCAGGATAAGTGGGGGTGAGGGAGAATCACTGAACCTTTGCAAGATGTTGCTCCTAACACAGATCAGTACAATGAGAATGTTAATTGCATAAACAGGCCCCCAGCTCAAATTACATTCCAAGTTGCAAGTTAAGTCCCGGGCACACCAGTCAGCTATATTTCTCATTTAGAAAAGCATTTCACAACAAAAAATCTCTTACTAATAACAACGCTATAGCAGAGTAGCTCTAAAAACTTAATTTTTCTACCACCTGGAGTGATATTCATGATTCAAATGTCATGGTTTTCTATACTATAAATGATGAAGGAGGGCTTTTCAGATCTGGAATTCCTAATAAATCAGCTAGCACTACATTTTGTGCAAGGTATGAGGGTGGGCAGAAGTCCATTCAACTTTGCAAGTGTTAAGCTGCAAAGAACTGCATATGCAAGTCAAATGGTGGCAACTGATCTAGCTCCCACTCAGGAGAAGAGTGGATACCTAGCAACAAGGTTAGCTGGTAGAGGTCTACCATCCTTTGCTGAAGCTGATCAAGAGTTCTATAACAGAGGAGACTGGAAGGTTTATAACATTTCATGACTTGTTGTACTATTTTCACCATTACAAGCTGAAGGAAACTGCTACACAAGCCTCAGCACAGATAGCTACTCTACCAACTTGTGAGGAAAGCACAAGCTAGAGCAGTAGCGGCCTTAAGGGAGGGCAAACTGGGTGATCGCCCAGGGCCCGACACTTTAGTGGGGGACCATATTTTTGCAACACATTTTTTGGGGGTAAAGTTTTTGCAAGGAAATGGCTCTATTTTCATTTTAACACTCAACTATTTATCTAATTCCCCTGTCACAGAGCACTCAGGTGCCCTGCGCCTAAAAACAGAAAAAACAGTTCGGGAGAGACCCCTAGTGGCAAGAAGAGGGAGGCCCAGCTGCCAGTTACCAGGGCAGCCAGAGTAACAGGTGCTGGTTGCCGGGACAACAGCTGTGGGGCCAACTGACAGGAAGGGGCAGGGCCTGGCCCATAAAAGCCCAGGCAGGAAGCCAGGAGGGCAGTTCCCCTCTGGCGACCAAGGGAGGAGGACCTCAGCTAGTACAGACGAAGGGGGGAACTCTGACTGTGTGAGCATCGCTTGGTCGCTGCTGGGGTTCGAGTGTTTTCCCGGTAGGGACTGAATGTTGTTTGGCCGAACAGTCTAGCTTTTTATGTTATAGCCCAGGGGCTTTGTGTTTTTGTGTTTACTGTTTTGATCGGAGGACCGGGTGAGGCTATCAGGGGTTGGAGGGAGGCCTCATAGAGGCTCCACGGTACTGTGGGGACCCCGGTGCCAGACAGAGCACAACATTCAAGGGTGCATTGACCCCAGCCCAGAACAAGGGGGGCAGTGAGAAGCCCCAAGGGGGTAAAGAAGAGGGCCAAGTCACAACAGGGCCCAGGTCAAAAACCACATCACCACCATCTGTGAGGCTTAGGCTGCAGTGTAGGGGAAGAAAAGGAGCCGCAGGTAGCGCCCCCTGGCACCGGGGTGCATAAAGTGGGCAGCCTCCTGTTAATTAGATCAATCAATTAACCACTTAAGATCAAGGCATGGCAGGAAAGTAAGCAGGCGGTTGGCCCATAACAGGAGGGCAGAGCCACTCCTAGAAAGGAGTATCGCCACCGGAGCCTGTCACATCCCCCAAAAAATAAAAAGATTCATGATACATAGGTTATCAAAATTAAGCCTCTAAGGGGCCCCAAATGACTCTCTTGCCCGGGGCCTCAACAACCCTAAGGCCACCACTGGCTAGAGTGAGGGGTGCTGCATTACAGATGCTTGTTTTCTAAGTGTGCTGTAATCTCCTATACTTTACCTTTCGAAAGCATGTTCAGCAACCTGTGCAAATCCTAATATACAGACAAGTATTCTCTCCTTCTCTCTCCCTGCCATGTGTCCATAAAGTAAACGGTAAACTAGACGAGAAAGTTCACATCCTTAATGAAATCCTTGGGAATGTGAAACAGCTACTAGGAAGCCAGCAATGGTTTCAGGGTCAAAACACTTTAAACAAGGCCCCTACTACCAAACAGAGTGTCAAATATTAGCTCTTTCCCTAGAGGACCTGACCAGAATCTCTGTATTAGGGATAATGCCTAACCAGCCACAGTAAACTCAGGGGACATGGCAGTCAACATCTGGATCCCCTCACAGAGAGTGACAAGTGTCCAACTGGGGGAGTACTACCAGATGCAACACTGCCTCTATAAAAACTGGTTTGGATGTTTATGTAAGGCCCCATCTACACATTACACTTAAGGCATGATTAACTAGTTAATTATGCCTCAAGTAGTCACTGGGCCACACATTCAATCAATTAATGATGTGATAAAGAGAGGAATAAGCTACAAAGTTATTCCACAAAATGCGTAATAACTTTGTAGCTGCTTATCATGCCATAACTGAAAATGTGGCCAAGGGCCCCTGTGGCTGGGTGCCCTATCAGCTGATTGGACCTCCCAGCTAGAGGGGCTCACCTGCCCCCCCAGGTGAAGCTTACTCCCAGTCCTCAGGGGCTGGGAGGCCTATCAGCTGACAGGACTCCCAGCCACAGGGGCCCTCCACGCACCCCTATGGCTGGGAAACTGCAGTTGTATGAAGCAGCCCCACAGCACAGTTGCTGTCTCCCCGCCATGGGGTGCCCCTGTAGCTGGGAGCCTGGGTCAGCTGATGGGGCTCCCAGCTGCAGGAGTGCATGGTGATTGGGCTCTCCCTCTACTGGCAATAAGGCATCATGAGAGCCAACTCACAATCCCAAAAAACATGCTTTTGAAATGCCATATGTGCATGGCAGGGAGGCGCAATTGTGTGGATCATGCATTAGATCCCACTGCGCCTTTACCTGCATGTGTAGAGGGGCCCTAAAACTTATATAATAAATTTCCATCTTAAAATAGGGCTGCGGATCAACTTCTCTGAGTTACTCAAGCCAGAACCGAGTCCTTCAGACCTGGAATTTCAGAGCTGTTGTCATTACTTTAGCTAAATCTATCAGCTAAAATCAGTTTAGCTAAATCTATTACTTTGATTTGCCTGTTTGGATAATTATAGAGGTAGTTAACATTTAGTCTGAAGTCAGGCAGAAGGGCAGAGTAAATTAGTGTCCTCCTCTACCTTTTAGGCTAACTAAATCAGATTTATACCACAAGCTTTTGCTAGCCCAAGCTCACTTCAGACATGGCACATTTTAAAGGATCCCTAACATACACATGCAGAATTCAAGTGACTGTCTTATGCATTAAGATATCAGAAGATTATGGCCTGGTTAATATTTGTGGAATTTAAGACCTTTAGAAAAGTATACCAGTATATCTTATTTGTAAAAAGATATACAAAACCTGGGATTTCTTGGGGAAATACTGGTTGAGATACATCACCACAATGCAGTGATGTTCATCTTTAGCCACTATTAAGTGCTTGTTAGAATATTTGAAAATATGACACTCACCAGCACAAAGTAATAAGCATATAGAGCCATCAAATGATGAATTACAAAAAAAATGTCTCCAATTGCCTTCCAATAGTAAGTAATAAGCAGCAAATCTACAAGAGAGAAAAGGGAAGGGGGGGGGGAAAAAAAAAAAAAAAAAA